TGGAATGTTATTTTATTTTATTTTACCTTTTTAGCGTGGTGGGGAGTGAACAGCTCTTGCTGTTCAAAGAAAATAAAGCTATTCCTTGAGATTTTTATGTCTGTGACACTGAAGTAGTCCAAAGACTGGTTCTGTACCAAAGACGTTTTCCCAACAAGATCTTCATTTTCATGTGCCATTTATAGTAAATGAAGACATGTTTGTAGGAGTACCGGTAGATGGAGAGGTTGATCATGCTAAAAAACTGGAGGACTGTTTTTTGAAACTTAAATCTGATTATGCATATATGCTATTTTTATTCCTCTCTTTAGTTATCTGTCAAGGAACATTTGTGCAAATGAATTTTCATTATGGATTTGAAGCATGCAGGCTGGAATGCTGGCAGAAAGATATCCTGAATACTGCTTTTAGATACTGCTTTTCCCCAAGATTTTCAAGGTTAGCTGAATTCTGAGTTCTGGTTAGTCATTGTGAAAATGAAATGTCATCTGACCTATAGGATGGATCACAACAAGGCAGCTTCACTTTGATCTGAAGATCAAACACTGCTTTCTAAACTGGGAATATTTATAAAGTAATGGGTGACAGGAAAAACAAGTCTCACTCATGACTGTATTGGAAGTGGAAAGTGGCAAAATTTGTAGTACGTTACCGGTGAGTTGAGTAGGATGAGTTATTACTAATAATATCCAACTGGCTGTCTCTTGGGTTGGATTTCACATGTCTTATGTGGACTGGCAGATGAGGGTAGTGTTGGAACTTGTGAATCACAGATATTTTTACCCTACTCTTTAACCCAAATAAGGAACTTATATAATATGTATATGTATACGTGGATGCCATGAAGTGCCCCATAAACAAAGGCAAGTGTGTGTGTATATACCTATATATGTAGGTGTAGTTGTATACATACACTTCTTGCAGAGAAGGAGTGTTGTGGATGGACTGCCAAATTCAATATACCATGTCAGCTGTGGAGGCCTCAGGCTGTGATGACACACATTGTATTTTCAGTCAGTCATCATCTTAAAACTTGTGCCTTATAGACATTTCCGTTGTTAAGGCTTGGCCACACTACCTGTTTTATTGGGGCAGGAGTTCTCAGTTGGAGGAAACAGATTTGGATCCATTTTGAGCTGTTTCTAGTCCAAGGAAGAGGTATAGCAAATTAGTTTTGAATTGAGTTCCCTGAAGTGAAGACATTGGGTAGCGTGGTTTCTGCTGCACTTGCCTGGCACCACGGTGTGCAACCCCAGGGAGGGAGGAGAGGACCATTGGCTTTGCCAAGGGCATGTAGAGGAAACGAAGAAGGGGCGGGTATCCTGAGAAACCTGTCAGAGTCTGAAAGTGCATCAGAAAACTAGTGCTGTCACACCAACTCACCCACATTGGTTCTGTCTCAATAGCCCTAGGGGAGCCCTGGGACTGGCCCAGGGCACACAAGATGCTGCTCCCAGGCTTGGATGGCTGAAGCCTGTTGCCGTCACGGTCTCCACTGAGCTCAGCTCCTGCAAGGAACCGGCCTACAGCCTCCCCTCTCTCCTGCTCGTGGGACATCCCACCCTGCCTCAGTGCCTGCAAATCCCATCTGCCTTGAGTAAAAATTCTTTCAATAGTTGTTTGCCTTCAGGGCTGCAAATCTGTTTTGTTTCTAGCCTGAATTGGCTTTATTTTAGACTCCAGCTGTTGAAAGCATACTGAAGAGCAGGGTGTGGGATGCAAAGGGACCCCCAGGACCTCCTGCTTCCTATGTCCTGGGTCATGGATGTGTGCAGGGTTCAGTGTCCACTGTGCAGGGCATTAACCACAGTGCAGTGCCAGGCTCTGACACCAGACTCTGCTCCCAGTGTCAACCTGCTCTGGTGCCACCACAGCCTGGCCCCTGCTTAGCCAGGGGTGAATAAGCCCAGCTGGCATGAGAGCCTGGCCTCAGGGGACACAGAGGCACTGTGGGGGCACAAAGTGAAGAAGAACATGGCAACGACAAGGAAATCGCTCTCTCTAAGGGTTTTTTAGTTTCCAGCAGAAAACGAGCTGAGAGCGGGTGGGAGCGAAGGAAGGAAAGGCAAGAGAGGCAAAAAGCCTCCAATAAATCACTGAGGCAGAGAGGAGGCCGTCCTGTAAGGATGAAAGAGAGAGCTATGGCTGGAGCAGAGTCCTGCTGCCGGCCAGGTGTCCTCAGTCTGCTGCTGAAAAGCCTGTGCCAGCTATTTGCTCATCGCAGTCACGTTTGTTTGGGTGTCTGCGCCTCCCTGGGAGGCAGCTCTGTCAAAAGCAGGTATCCACAGCCCGTGGGGCTGGCAAGGGTGGGCAGCTGGTGTGCACCAGCTCCTGCTGCACACCCTGAGCCCCTGCCTCCTCCCTGCCTGCACCCCTGGGGCCCCTTTGCAACTCTCCACACAAAGAGACACCAGGCAGGTCTCTCAAGCTTGCTGCCTTGCCTGGGAGAGGAGGAGAAGGAGGAGGAGGAGGAGGGGAGGGTGGTGATAAGGGGCTTGCTGCGTTGCCTCATTTCTGTATCCAGCACACAGCTCGTGGGGTGTGTGCGAGTGCGTGCATCCGCTGCCTCAGGACTACTGCTGCTGCAGTCTCAGCGCTGAGCTGCCGGCAACCAGCATCAGGGGAGCTCTGGCTGTTTACTGTCTGGTGACAAGTGTTGCAATGCAAAAGCCGAACGCGTCTGTGGAGAGGAGGCTGTGCTGGCAGCAGCACCTGTAAGGAGCGAGGGGAAGAGGCTTCCTAAGGCATTCAGCAGCAGGCAGCTGAGGCTCCAGGCATCAGCACCTCCTCCCAGTGTCTCCATCACCACTTGCTTCGGATCTCTTCTTAAGGGGAGAAGAGGAAAAAGGATCCAGAAAAACCCTGCAACTGGACAGCCCCTGCTGGAGTCTAACAGGTGTTTGCTGGGATTTGAATGGGGAGGGGACGGGTGGGGAGAAAAGTTAACTGGAGAAATTTGGGCTAGGAGAGATGCGATGATCTTGCACCAAGTGGATGTGCCATGTCTGCATGTGAATAGTGCATCTGGAGAAGCTCGGAGGGATGTCTTGCAAGTCATCTGCTTAATCTCCGTAGAAACGCTTACCTCTGCCTGCAAACTTTCCCCTGCCAGAAGCTGGGAGGAATAAAAAAACATCAGAAAATCAAAAGGGGAAGATCTCAGCGGACAAAAACGCTTGAGCTAAACTGTTGCATCCTGACCCAGGGCTCTGGTGCAAGCATCCCGCCGGTGTCTCCTAGGCTCCCAAGCCAGTTGGCGGTGGGTGGCATTGGCCAAGGCGCCCGGCAGCGTCCCCAGCATTGGGGACGGGCCGAGCAGCATGCTGGCTGCGGTGCCCGCAGCCGGCGAGCAAACCCCGTGTGCCTGACCCGCCGGTGGGGCTGCGGCCATGGCTGCAGCCATTGCCAGCTCCCTGATCCGCCAGAAGAGACAAGCCAGGGAGCGGGAGAAGTCCAATGCCTGTAAGTGTGTCAACAGCCCCAGCAAGAGCAAGGGAAGCTGCGACAAGAACAAGTTGAATGTGTTTTCCAGGGTCAAACTCTTTGGCTCCAAGAAAAGGCGAAGAAGGCGACCAGGTTGGCAAGGGTTATGTCTTTGGGGGGTTGGTTTGTTTAATTTAATGCAAACTGGGGTGTGCATCAGGCATTGGGAAAGAGGGACCGGTGTCTCAGGGCTGGTAAAATGAACTTGGAGGTATTGCACTCGTGGCTTGTACCTGATAGATGTGGGTAGCCCATGCCAGTCCCTTCCCCGTTCACGTTCATCTGGCTTGTTTGGATAACACACACCATTACTATTTGTCTCACTGGCACACCCATGTGCACCCGTGTACTGGTAATTCAGTAGTCTGTCTCTCTGTTACACATACACATCTACAAACACACGTGATTTATTTGTGGGGGAGATGTTAGCAGTGGAAGTTCACACACACACCCCTCCTTCAGTTGTACGTTAAAAAACTCAGCGGTCTAGAGATCTGTTTCTGACTTCCTGCTTCACAGAATGCCTGTGCCATTCTTTATTTGCTGATTGCAGATGAGGCTTTTTGCTTTCGCTGCTTGTTTCCAGAATGTTGCTTCAGTGCCGTGTTCCTTTCTAGGAATCTCATACATGCACCTGCCCTGCAGATGCGATGGTCTCTGTGTCAGAGGTGCAAAAGATCAGGCATGAAGACTCAGTCCCTGATCTGAGTGGTTTTTTGGTACATGGGAGGAGCAAAACCCTCTGGTAATGTTGCCATCGCTTTGCTGTGCTGAAACATTGATGCTGTTAGCCACTTAACCTGTCTGCCTTTCTCAGCAGCCACAGAAGAGGTGCCTTGCTCGCAATTTGCAAACAGCTTGGGGATGTGTTATGGCTCAAAAGCCAAAGTGAGGGTTGGATTAATTTCTTGTCGGAGAAGTTGATATATAAGAATTGTGCATCTAGCAGTATCCTTCTTAAAGGTTGCTAATAGGAACTAATACACTTAGGCAAACTACTGTAAGCTTTTTCCTTCAGCTCCTGCTAAAATGACGTACAGGCGCAGAGCTCCCTAATGTCTTTGATTACAAACACAAGGAGTCTTATCCAGACATTGGCTATTGGAAATGACACATCATATCTTCACAGTATGTTTATCTCTGAATTAAGCAGGATGTTGTGGAGCGAGCTGCAGGGGTGCATCACCCCCTGACAAGCATGATTGTGTGAAATGACTACAATGCAGATGTCATTGGGATTCAGTGGAAGTAGACCTTTTTTGCAATTACTCCTGGTGCGTTACCCAGGTGCCTTAAATGACAGACTTGACAGCAGATCCTGTTGCTGTATACTTTTTGGTCTAGAATGATCTGAAACCGTGTGAGATATCTTGCTTTCTAACTGTGAATCTGAGGATGGTTATGAAAAAAAGAAATCTATCCAAACTATATGTTGTTTTGATCTTTCTTCTTCTAGCTGATGAGGTAATTACCTCAACCCTTATGGTAATATTTATTTTGCAGTTCCTCACATTGGTGGATTTCAGGGTTCCCCCCTCCATTTTCCATATGTTCATTGAGTAGTTTATCACTTCGGATGCTCTGTACTCTTTGGAGCAGTGAGGAAGGGGGGTTTGTTTATTAGAGCTGGAGCAGTTCCTGTGCTAAGCGTTTGCTGCTATATATTTAGGCTCTCAACTGTCACTATGGCTCTTATTAGCGCTATCATAGTAGTCCTCTTTTTCCTCTCCATTTAAGAACTCACACCTTTTTAAAAGGCAGAATGCACTCTTTGCCAGCTCATTTCTAATCTTAAATGAGATAGAGCAGAGCTCCTGAGGCCAAGCAACACACTGTTGGAATTTGTATTCACTGGAAGTAGATTTTACCGTGCTAGCTACATTGCAATCGAAAGTGGCATTTAATCATTTTGGCAATTGATTTCATAGACATAAATTTGATCCCAACCTAAATGAAAAGTGTTGCAAAGCTGGTTGCCTTGTTTTTGTTTTGGGTCTTTTTTTATGTCTCAGCCTTGAGAAGAAGCCCGGAGATTTGTTTTCAGCATCCTGCTCGCTTAGAACGGCACATCAGGATTTCCCACATTAATCTCACTATTGTTTTTTTACAGAGCCTCAGCTTAAAGGTATAGTAACAAAGCTATACAGCAGGCAAGGATACCACTTGCAGTTGCAAGCAGATGGAACAATTGATGGAACAAAAGAGGAGGACAGTAGTTATAGTAAGTGACATGAGAATAAATGGTGTGTTTGTGGATTGTGGTGTCTCATTCTTCCCATATAGATCTGTTCAAAGTTGTTGTCCTGGGATGACTGAGTGGAAGCAGCATTAACATTGTGCTCACTGTGCAGAAGTCTTTCAGACTTACTGGGTCTGAGAGAAATGCAAATAAAAATCACATATAGAAATTATGACCTAGAGGAGGTAATGATGACACATATGACAAACAAAGCAAATGTTATCTCCATGGTAATATAGAGAAGTTCATTGCTGTCCTTCGGATTTTATTAGATTTTTTTTTTCCCCCGACAGGGAAAATTTGCTCGCCTACTCAGAGTGCCTGAAATAGAATAACACTATCTCCACCCTTAAGCAGGGGCTCATTCAAACAGAGCCGTGTTATTTCACACAATGTGAGTTCATCATCATTTTAAAGTTCACGTTTTCCTGTTGTTATTATTATTTTATACCCCATCTAAACTTAATTATACCTTCAGCTTTCAACCGAATTTCCCTCAGCTTTTCTGTGAAAAAGCTTTGGATGCTTTTGGTTTGATTTGGGGTTTTTTTTGTTTGTTTGGTTGTTTGGTTGTTTTTTTTACAACTTTGAGAATTAATAGAAAACAGGAAAAGATAACTAAAGCATAGATTTGATGTGTGTGAATAAAGCATTTAAGCATTTCATGTAGTTGTACCATTTAAACTATGTTTCTGTTCTGAAAAAAGGAGTTAGAAGGAGCAAGGAGTTTGAGAAGGTGTTTCAGGCCACTTAGGCAACCAGCTAGAAAATCAACAGACAGACCTTTCTTTTTAATTATTGAAAAGCACTGATTTAAATGCCATCCTTTTCATATGAAAAGCATTTGCAGGTGAAACATGACTTCGTTTTACAGAGCGCTTGAATATGGCAGAGAAAGCACTAGATGCAATAGGAAGTATCATACCTTATTTGTCTGATCACTTGCTTCCACCCTTTTCCCGCACCCTCTTTAATCCTTTTTGCATCCCTATGTTAACTTCTGAGTGACAGGAGGGAACCCGTTATGCTGCTGGAAGCCATAACGGTCTCCTCTGTAGCCACCGAAGGTGCTGGCCTTAGGGCAGAGCACAAGCAGAGAGTCTCTAGGGACACCTGAGGTCTGGCTCTGGGTCCTGTCCTCACCCACGGAGAAGGTGGCACAAAGACCAGATCAGTGCAATACTGAGCAGCTGCTGCCATCTTATACAGTTGTTCTCAGTGCAGCCACAAAATTTACTCTTAAGAATGATCTTTATGGACCTTAAACATTGCTTTTCTTTCAAATGAATGATCTAATATTTATGATTTAAAAAGTCAGTACAGATCATTCAGGATTTGAGGGTAATTCCGCTAATTGTCGTAAAGAAGAAATAGGTAAACCTTCCTTTTTACATCAAAAAGTGGCATTGTTATAAACCTTTAATGTACCAGAGCAAATATCTGAAATTCTGTCTTTTTTTTTTATTATTATTGTTTCATTCAAATACTTTGCTTGGAATCCCTCTAATAGGGATTCTGAGATTTGAAACAAGATAAAAGTTATGGAAATAGAAATGTGTCTGTTTCTAAGATATCTTTGTTTTCACTCTGTCCTTAAATTTACCATAACTGGATAGATTACAAAGCAAATAATAAAAACTCCTTCTTCCTGGATACCAGCCTTCCAAAATGCTGAATGCTTAAACATAATGGAAGTATCCCAGAAATGGTTGCAGCTGGGCTCCAGTATCTAAGTGTTAAGAAGAGAGGAGGGTTTCACCATAAAAAAAACCCACATACTTTCATATATAGTCCTCTTTTATGTAAGGTAAGTGTATGGACCTGAATGTCCCGTAGTCCTGCATTTATTTTAATTGCAAGATTTTCAATGGAGCTAGTAAGACAGACTGATTTATGTTGTGAATCAGAGTCCACATAAGGGGCTCCTCTCAATATGCTAATATGAATATTAAGCAGATCAGGCCCTCTAAAATCCTTTCTTCCAATACCTGCAGAGACATACCTCATTTAGCCCATATTCCTGCACTGTGGGGAAGCCACAGGACTTGTAGCCCCCTGGAAATGCAGGAGGACCCCTTCTCCAGTCCATTTTCCTCTCCTTTGCATCCCTGAGGGATATCCCTGAGGGATATCGTTGCAGTTCTCTTTTGTCATCTTCACTGAACGTTTGCTCTAAGACCATTTGATTTGCAGTGTAGTGCAATAATTCGAACTCCCTTTAACGGTAAGGGGAACATCCTCAAATGTGACCAGCAGAACAGTTGCACAGTGCTAGGACTCTGCGACTGCGATTTTTAGAGCAAACCATAGTCATCGTCCACCTGATCTCCAGGCAGAGCGTTGGTCAGCCTTGTTTAAATTTCAGAATTTGTTTTCCCTGTTTACTGTAGAGATGAGAAGAGCTCACAGCCCCTGATAGCCAGCTGGTGCTTTATGCTTCTGGCAGCATCTTGGGCCCAGGAGTCCACCTCCTCCATTGTTTGCTACCTAGATCTGAGTAGGAAGTTTGCCTGGAGATCCCCTTTGACTCCTGACTTGGGAGCAATTATTACAAGCTCTGCAGACCCACTGCTGCATGCAGGGTTCACAAAACCAAGGTTGTATCACAATTGCAGAGAGTTTAAAAGAAAGCTTGAGATTTTGGAGCACAATTTAGGCAGGAAATGAAACATGTATTTGAAGAGCCGTAGCACTCGCCAGACCTCAGTTTCAGCCAACAGTCCATGTGATTTGAGGAAGTGCCTCGTGGAAAGGATTTCCTGGCTGAGAAACAGATTTTGTCTCATTAAATGTGTTAAATAGGGCAAGATTTTAAATCAAGGCAGAATTTATTTCCTGATTTTGCCAAGACAGAGATTTCAAGACTGATAAAATAAGGAAATATAGGAAACAATATCCTGCAGAAAGAGGGCCAAGCCAAGGATGGCACAGACCTCACAGTAATGTCTGCGTTCATAAATCCAGCTGTGGCCTGCTGCCTCTTATTTTGCAGCTCTAATTCTCTGCCAGCTTGTATTGCACAAGGGCCATAGCAAAGATCATCTCTCCCTTAGGCGTCGCCAAGTTTTTCATTATGGTGGATATTATATCCTTATTTTAAACAGCACAAAAGGAATAGGGAAAACTAGGATGCAAAAAAGTTTGCATTATTTTATGCTAACACAAACTGCTCACAGTAGCAAGCAATTTATTTTCCTGTGGCTTTTTTTGCCACCCTTTCTGTTGTATCTGCCCACATGAGAGTCATCCCATAGAAACAAGCAGACCTGTTGTCCATGGCATTGGGGGCTTGCAGAGAAGGAGGCTGCGTGGCTCTGCTGTTGGCCGCGTCAGCATTTGCTAGTCATGGACAGGCCACTCACTGTTACAGAAGCCAGACTTGCTGCTCCTCATGGGTGGTGGGAATGATGGCTGCTGCTACAGGGGACAGTCCCCCCTTTTTGTGCAGTGCTAATGTCCCTTTGCCTTGGGCAACCTGGCTGTGTGTCTGGCTGTGCTGGCATAGGAGAGATTGATTGCGTACCCCTCCAGCAGCCTGTCCCTCTCCCCTTTGGCAGAGACAGTCGGTAGCAGAGCCAGCATTACTCCCCCACAGCCCTTTTGCAAGTTGCCGTAGTCTGTGCCACAGCAGCTGCTAATCCCAGCAATGTCTAAACCAGCTTCTGAGTGCGCCCAGCCTTCGTCTTACCTCAAAATAGAGCGTGTACAATTATGGCAGGAAAATATGTTCAGCTGCTGTGGGAAGCAGCTGAGCACCCATCGCAGTGGGTGCCCCAGCCTTCCCCTGGTAGAAGTCACTCAGTCTTGTATCTCTGCTCACTTTGACAAGCACAGCACAGCCAGGAATCACTCATTAAAACCTCTCTCTGTGGCTTGTGGCTGTGAGCTGTGTTTTCTCAACTGTCCCAGGCTTTGCGCTGTCCTCAGCTGGTCTACTGACAGGTTCGTAGCACTATTTACAGTGGAGCCCATACTTGTACCCTTGTGCTGGAAATAGCCAAACGCTTGCCCTACTCATCAATATGCCATTAAGAAAGCACCTTTCAAAAGAGACCTCCAGGTTCTGCCTAGATACTAAGCTTTAAATTGTGCTCTCCTGCCTACACAGAGATCAGATGCTGCTTTTTGGGGTTGAACTGCAAAAGAGGACTCTCCAAGTGAGCGTTTACTGAGTCAGACAGGGAATATTTTCTCCCCTATACATATTCAAGCGTTTGATAGAATGAATGCGAAATCCATTTCCCTTAGCAGTTTCTTTACTGAAAATGTAAGTTTTGTTTGCCAAAACCTGCACAGAATTAGGGAATTTTGTTTTAGTGGAGAGAAAGCCATTTCTGTTGATTTGGTGCTTGAGAAAAGTGTGAGGAGGGGCTGCATCTGTGCATTCGTGTTTGAGTGTACATTTATGTGTATTAGAGGGAAAGAAAAACACAGGTATGGTTTTATGAACCCCTATGTTTGTTTATTAGTTCTGGATATTTCCACCTGCTCTGCTGTATTTGACTATCATAGGAAATTCGGTGCTCAAAGGTGCCCCAACCTCAGAGCAGAGCATCTGAAGTTTGCAGTGTGCCTGCCCTGAGTGTGTCCCTCAGCTGCTGGACCCCCAGAACCCATTGCGCCTTCTCTTCATTGAGCCATGGGGCTGAGATGCTCAGGTTGACTCAGGACAGCACACAGAGCTGGAGGTCTAGCTGCCTGCTGGAATAGAGTCTGTTTTCACCAGAATGTAGTCCTTTGTCCCCAGTGTATAGTGTTAACTTCTGGCCATGCCTTTATCAAAGCAGGACGTGCATGTGTTTGCTCTTTCCTTTTTTGATACACTCTTGACAACCCCACATGCAGAATTTAGGATCTGTATTAAATGCTGACAAGCTGCAAATTTTCTTTTAATTAAATACGACCATTTGGGAGTTGTCAGACTGAAAAAGGAATTTATATTGGATCATAATTCTTAGCTTATATGTTTGAAAAGAATAAAAGTATTTCAAATTCATAATTCAGTTTTAAATTGGCTTCAGTCAGTGACCATAAATACCAGATTTCAGCCTGAAGCAGACTGGAGTTTTCTAGCCAAGTAATAAACCATTGGAAATAAGAGCCAGTTTGCCATTACTTCATCCAGTCTCTGCATTTATACAACAGACTGGAAGGAGATGCTTTGGGTTATGATAGCAGTTCTTGAAAATTTTCTTATCTCTGCTTTATTTTTAATCCTACATATTGAACACAGAGTACTGTATTCAACTCATTATTACTTGGGTTCAATTTTAACATAACCGTGAACCTAAGCTATGGCAGAGCTTTGCTTTTTCTTTTTTCTTTTTTTTTTTTTTTAATTTGCCACTTTACAAACCAGAATCTTCATTTGTGAAGAGACTTTTCTCTGCTTATAAATACTGCCACTATTAGCATGTGTACAAGCATAAACGCAAGCAGAACATTTGAAGCAGCTCCATTTTGAAAGCACAGATTTAGGGCTTGATCTAAAGCATATGCTGTCATTTCATTTTGAAGTTTTTTAACTCTTTTCAAATGCATTCTTTCAAAAAGAGGAAAAAAATTGAGTTTTGAGTGGGAACATTTTGTGATGTTAATGAAGGTTTTTAACTTTTCTGAATTTCATCTTGCTCCTTCCTTTTGGTCAAAAATGTTTACTGAATTTGATCTGAATTAGAAAAAAAAAAAAAGGTTTTGTCATCTTGAAAAACATTTTGTTTGTTTTTGGATTACCTTTTTTTTTTTTCTTTTTGCACTTACTGTCAGAAAAAATAAAAAACCGAAACCAAATTAAGTATATTCAACTCAGCAGACCCTGGATTCTGCTCATGAGACAGGTAAGTCCTTTTAGCTGTCAGTACCTCCAATTCATTGTCTTCAGAATGGGGGAGATACACTGATACCCTCTGTAGATCATTTCTGAACTATTGATGGAAATTGCTATAGAAGAACATGATAGTAGCAGTATTGTTCTATAGCACCTATAGAAATTAATAGATGCATGAAGGGACTTTTTTTATTTGGTTCTTGTAATTGTGGTTTAATTATCTAATCTATGTACTCTAAAGGATTAATTTTGTTCTTTTTCTCCTTTCTTTCCTAGCTTTGTTTAACCTCATACCTGTGGGTTTACGAGTGGTGGCGATTCAGGGGGTTCAAACAAAATTGTATCTGGCAATGAACAGTGAAGGATACCTATACACATCAGTAAGTAAACATTTTTAATTTTGTTCTCATTGAAATTATAGTAAAAACTTAGAAAATGAATTATTTACTGTTCCAAGGAATCTGCTTATAACCTACAGATGTGAGATTTGGCAGCAATTCACTATAGTGGTGACAGTCTGGTTTTAGCTTATTTACTCTATTTCCATTATGAATACATCTGAATGTATGGAATCAAACTGCGGTGCCTTTGATGCAAACTAATGACATGAAGTGTGAAATGAAAAAAAAACAAACCCACAGCCAAAACCCCGAACAGAAAGGACGTTCTCTCTTGGTCACTGTGGACAGATAGGGCTAATCTGTGTGGACTACAGAGGGAAAGGGAGAACTTGGTGAATCACACACATGCCTGAACACATTTTTTATCTTCCCATATAATCACTGTTACTGTTATTAAAAGGGATTAGAGAAAGTAAATTTTTTTTGTTTGGCCAGGATTTTCAAATAGAGAATATGCCATAACCTTACAGCTTCAAATTGCTGAGTGAGTAAAGAAACATTTTGTTAGTAGTTTTGATGAAGAATGTCAGTTAATAATTTCCAGTGGTAAGTCTCAAGAGAGCAAACAGTGTTTTTATGAAAAAAAGAAAAAAGGACATTTTTAAAAATAGACCATTTTTCAATTAAAAACATTTAGTTGAACTATGTTCAGGAGTTTTAATTATCAAGTCTTAATAGATTTTTTCCCAAGGAGGAAAATAGAGGAAAACGTAATTTATTATCTGCTACAAATTATTCTCTTCTATGAATGATTCCCTTAAGGTGCCTTTAATACTAGTAACAATTAAGTAAACTTATTCAAATCTGTCATTTGTTTTGCAATCCTGACAGCTGGGACAAGGGGCAGCTTTGCATATTTTTCCTCTTGTATCTGCCAGAGCAAAAGCAAGTTAGAACTGGTTATGCTGTGGGACAAAATAAAATTTCAGTGAATGGCATCAACCTCTGCTTTTCTTTTTTACTCTGGCTATTTGCTTAGTGCAGTTAATCCACCGATCTGTTTGCAGGGCTGTAGCCACACAGCCAGATTGTGCAAAGTCCCCTTAATCCCGTGTAGTCACGGTCCTCTGACTGCACAGTGTCATTTACGTTTGCACTGCAAATGTACCTTTGACTGTGCCCTGCGTTTTCATTTGTATCAGCATCCTCAGCTGCACTCCTCTCCAGGCGAGCAATGTGCCGTGCCAGCTTCTGCGGGCTCCGTTCTGTTCTGCCTCGGGGAGCGTTACCTCAAGTCGCGGCTCAGGGTGGGATGGAGAGGTTTGTACATAAAGCAGAATTTCATCACCATGCACAGCAAACGTCCTTGGTTTGAGTAGGTCAGTTCTTTCATTGCATACATTCTGGAAGAGTCAGATACATTTTTGCAAAGATGCAGAAGATGGGATAGGGACGGATTCTGCCACAGACAGAATCTGTGATGGAGCAGTAACTTCTCATTGTGAGACAACCTTGAAGTCAAAGGGACCACTGAGAGAATGAAGTATCACTTCTAGTATACCTCAATGTGATGAGGAGAGGCAGAATATAACCCTAATTAAGTCCAGCTTTTAGTTTGGTGGGTGCCTAGGCATCTCAGGCAGAGCTGAGAGATTCACTTTGGTTGTAATTTTTTGTATTTGCATCGATTAGGGATAGTTCTGCATGTGGTCTCATATGTTACCATGAGTAGTCGCTTCCTTGAATCCTTTAGTACCTGTAAATTCAATAGTTTATGCCATTGCAAAATTAACTGGTGACATCCCTGTGTTTTTCTGTTAGTAACAATGGTCAGTTTTGTTTATTAGGCAGCTATACGTTCTTACATTTATTCTTCTTGAACTTGATGGGCTTGGCAAGGCCTTAAACAGACTTTTGTCATGGTGTTGTGTGCCAAATTTCTATTTTTAAGTACTCTTCACAAAGACAGGTTTGTCACCTTATAATGTTGATTATGGTTTATCACCGTTTAATGTTGATCTACTTCTCCAAATAAAGTTTCTACCCAATTTCTCAATAATCTTGGTTTTATCACTTGGTGCCTTCTGGTTTAGTTGTTCTGTCCTTTATAATAATTGCAAGAAACATGATGGACAAAACCTACCTCATGTCTATGTCAATGTACCCAGGGAATGGACAAGGGCTGGTGAGGCGCATCTGCCGCTACTTCACCTACTATGCAACAAGATTGCCAGAATTGCAGTTTCAGCACCATTTGTTAAGTGTTTCTAGCACTTTTTTTGCTGGTAACGGTCCTTTCAGCAAGGGATACAGTCTGACAGTCTGATGCATGGGAAATTAGCTCTATATTTTGGACTGGTTTCTTGGTTGATGTAAATGAGTCCCAAGAGAGCTCAGCTGATTTATACCAGCTGAACACTCACCTGTTCAAGGGACGCCAACAGGGAGTCCAGGGAACAGATCAGCTCAAATAAATGACATCCATCTTCACATCCTCAGGGTTTCCAAGCCCTTAGAGGGATGTGTTCCCAAATGGGATTTGTCAGGAGCAGACAGATGGCAACATGGGATTGATCAGGACCAAAAGCCCCACAAAACACTGTCAATTTCCTGAAGCAAGAATACAGGGAAAAATAGAAGTGTACTTAGATTGTAGATAACTATGACAGATAGTTGCACCGTTTCCATAGAGAAATGAAATTAGCATTGATGATGCAATGTAATAGGGAGAGAGAATATTGTGATCTATGTCATGATCGCTTCTTTTCAGTTTTATTGCAACTCTAGTGCTCCAATCACGCTTGCATCTGTGCAGAACCGTTTCCTTCAGATTGCATTGCCAAAGGTTATAGATTAATTTGGTAAATGGTTTGAAAAACACCCTACTAACGTGCCATCCCTGTTCCTCACCCCGTGCTACTGTCTGCGCCTTGCACCTGATAGCGCCTTTTAGCCTGAAACACTTCCAAAACACTGCACTGATAAAGAGACCATTAAGTCCACGGCAATTACCCCACTGGTAAATAGGTAAATAAGACATCTGGCTTGCAGGAGGATAAATGGAGGCTCAGCTAAGTGCTTTCCCATACTCACATAGGGAAGCACATTAGGGCTAACACACCATGTGTCCCATTTCCGTCCATCTTGCACTAAATTGCAATATTAAATCGCAGTTCCTTTTCCTTTTAGTGACTGTGGTGAATTCCGATGTTTTGTTCCTTGCAGTATATTTTTTACTTTTGGGCTGTGCAGCAACAAAATTGACTTAGTTGATTCTGAGTGTCCTGCATATGTAGAACGTATGTCCTAGCCACAATCCATTAGAGTTGTTGGCAGATGGAGAATATCTGCAGGTCTAGTTGACTAATTTGTTGAGCTGTGGCTATGGCCTTGCAGTCTGCCAGGGTGAGGATTCAGGTATCGGCCCTCAGAGGTAGTCTGCATTGTGGTTTCCTTCTGATCCAGTGACTGTACTCAAGAATGAGGTGAATTTGCTCCATAAGGGGATCAGTGATGTATAATAAATCCACAGAGAACACATATCTGTACTTGGCTGCCAGAGTTTATAGATAGTTTGCGGCGCCTGTCAGTTAGAACAAAAATAAGATCTTTAATGTAATGATAAAAGCTCCTTGGGGACAAGGCAGCAACTCAGCTAAGCAAAAAAAAAAAAAAAAAAAAAGTTAAAATAAATATAAAATTATCTACATTTGTTATACAAACATATTAAAAGCCCTGGACTGCAGGAAAGGGAAGCAACCTTGGTCTTCCCCACAGCGTGCCTTGCTGCCACTGCTCACCCTGTCCCAAGCAGTGTGTGCTGCCTCTCCACACCGGCTGGAAAATGCATCCTCATATCACAGAAGAAAAACACATTTGAAATGTCTTTTTTTCTGTAGCCAGTTTCTGTACCAAAGTTGATGGGAGTTGTGTGACTGCATGTCCCAAGCCAAACCCACCCTCACAATTTTATTTGGAGAGACCTTGTCAGGAGCCGTTTGAAGCCGTAGCTCTTCCTGCTGTTCGATGCTTGAGCATCCATTTAAAATTAAAAGGCAGAGTTTGATTCATCCCTTCTTACACCACTGTCATGCTCCTGCAAGATGACTTAAACAGTGTTATGGCACTGCTGTCTTACGTAACCACACAATGACTCATGCCCTTTTGTACTTTAGGATGGCTTTTATTTTGTCTTGTTTTTCTTTCTATGAACGACTGAGTCTTTCAGATGACCACCATGTATGCTGTACTCGAGTTTTTTACGTTTCCTACCCTATGAATTCCTTGTGTTCTTTTCATTGTCTTGAACAAAAGAGTAAAAAATATTTTAAGGATCTATTTGTCAGACATGTAGTCCTAGAGCTATTGCTTTCTCATTAAAGTGATTGAGATGTGACAGAGGAGGCTTAGAGTGATACAGAGCAGCAGCGGAGTGAAGTTCATGAAAGTGAAAGTTTGTATGTAGGTGAAGAGAATTGGGTGTACTGCTTGAATTCTATATAGGCTGAAACATAACCCAAAATATAACAAATTTAAAAAAAAGAAACAGCCTGAGAACCTCTAGCTGTATATTTTCCATGAACGATCATGTCAGCGTTTTTAAAATCATTTAATGATTGTCAGTGAAATGCATATTTCTGCTATAGGACGTTTCAGCCCATGTAACTGTGTGCTTGTTTAGCCTTGATACATTGTCAGAAAAAATGATAATGTAAAATTAAATACGTACTGCTCATTGCGATCTTCTGGACAGTCTCAGGAGCCGTGCAACTCATCTTGTAAGAGTGTTTGTTTTCCGTCTTGTCTTGTTCTGAGTTCCTGTGATTTGCCAAAGTGTTTGATTTAAGTGTCATATGCGAGTAAGCTTACAGCTTCTCTCAGGTTATAGAGCCCTTGTCTAAAAGCAGTCCTTTGCCCTGACCATATGTGATAGGGCCCGGTCTATTCCTCCCTCCTGCAGCCTTTCAACTCATTTATTGGAAATTCAGGGCATTCAGCATTTTGTGGGATGGGTGTTAGGAAGTACACTACACAGCAGA